ACCAATACTGCCTTTTATCTTATAGTCATTAAATTTTTTTCTTAAATATTAAATGCTTAAAAATACAGCTGTACAATTATTCTATGAATTCAGCTCTAAAATGGTCATTTAACTTACCAGAAATTACATAAATATCTTTTCCCAAGCTTCAGTGTATATATTCTGAAAAACAGTAAGCAAATGGAAGAAATATGTGACTAAAGAAAAAGATTGGGCTGGGGATGTAGCACGAGGGAACAGCACCTTTCATAAGCAATGCCTTCGGTTCAATCTCTAGCATCTCTCTCTGTTAATACCAAAAATGTATCTTCTCATATGTACGTATCTTCTCCGTTATGTACATATCTATAGTATGTATAGATATGTATATAAAAAGACAATCATTAATACCTTGAGTTGAATTTCCATAAAATAAATAGCACAAGATATTTACAAATGTTTAACGAAAATGATTATAGTCCCAAGATAGTATGTCACAATTAAGAATTATAGTCATGCTACCGCTGTTTGCTATGGACAATTGTTTAGTGCCACTATACAAAGCTCCACCTAAGAATTTATTTTAACGGAGCTATAAAAAGATTTACTTCTTCTGAAAAAGTTGGAATGAGTAATTGACTATCTCTCTTTACTAACTTTACCAGATAAGTTGACAAATCATAATCCCTACACAAGATTTCCTCTCTCCATTCATATTTTCTCTGGTTCTGATTCTATTCTTAGCGATATTTTACCATTATTCCATATTACATAACTTTAATGAAAATTATCTCAAATCCACTGTGGCTGAGGCAGGAAATAAATAAATGAAAGAAAGGAACAGAGAAAAGAACAGACATACACTCAAGACAACATATAGTTGTCTTTATGCCAAGATTTTCTTGCGAATTGGCTTATTAATAATACACATATTTTGAGGACTTTTCCAGCTACTAAGGATTTAGTCTAATTTCCTTGTAACCAATAGCATTTACTTATGAGAAACCTAGGCCTGTTACATTAACAGGAGATGAACACAACATACATTAAGACCTCAACCTGGGCTTTATGTATATCATATTCTAAACAATCCACCTAAAGAGCTGAATCACTATAATTGTAATTCATCTGTGTTTGCACATTTGTAATGCAACATATCAAATTCAATACTTTCAAAAATGATAGGAGCTAGGGCTATAGCAGAGTGCTGCTTGCCTACCATGTACAAGGCAGTGAGTTAGAAACTCAGAAAAAAATAAAATTAAAAAAATACAGCAACAATAAAAGAAAGGAAATATTAAGTGTTGATGAAAATGTAGAGAAATCAGAAATTTCATACATTGCTGACTGGAATGTAAAATAGTGTGGCTCAGTGGTAGAACGCCAGCCTCACGTGTAAGGCACTGGGTTTGATCCTCAGCACCACATAAAAATAAATATAGTTTAAAAAATAAGACACTTCCAACAAGTGGAAAATTCCATACTTAACCTTATGTAAAAGGGCACAGTCAAAACGCAGGTGCATTTAAAATACTGTGTAAAATTACCTTAAGGCTATATGTATAATGTGTATATGAAACCTAAGTTAATTTTGTATTCAGACTTTGGTACCATCAGCAAGATGTCTCATTATGTTCATGCAAATTTCCAAAATCCAAAAAAATCCAAAATATAAAACACTTAGCATCAAGAATTTTAAATAAAGGAAACAACCTATATACTATGTTTTTTTCCTATACATACATATCTATGATGAAATTGAGCACTTCTACCTTTTCATTTAAAGGAGTCATGTCACAGCTTCTCTTTAGCATATCCAAATTTCCAGTACACTATTGTATTCTGGGGGTCATTGTAAAGACAATTAGGGGTTATTTGAACACAATCATTGCACTATCACAACCTGTGTGTGTGTGTGTGGTACTGAAGATTGAACCCAGGAATGCTCTACCACCAAGCTATATCCCAGCCCTCTTTATTTTTCTATTTTGAGACAGGGCCTCCTTAAATTGCTGAGGCCAGCCTAGAACTTGTAATCCTCCTGCCTCAGCCTCCAGAGAGTAGTTGGAATTATAGGTGTGCATCATCACATGTGGATATAATATTGTGATTCTTAATCTCAGAACTGAGGCAGTACTTACTGAGTGACTAATGGACAGGTAGCATATACACTGGACAAAGGGATGATTCACATCCAAGAAGAATGGAGAAGGACAGCACAAGATTTCATTATGCTGCTCCTAACAGTATACAATTAAAAATTTTAATTTGTTTATTTCAGGCATCTTCCACTTAATGTTTGTGGACTGGGGATGACCAAAGACCTGAAACTGCAGAAAGTAAAACCATGGGAAAAGGGGAACTATAGTATCCCTCTTCTCCTTTTAATCACATCCTTACTCAGCATACATAATGAGCACAGAAAAGGGAAGACAAACAGAACACGTAGGGCTCCAAGAAGGATTATATGGAAACCTACACAAAATCAAGTAGACTTTTAACAGTGCCACATATAAGAATCCCTTCCACAAATGGTCACCCAGTCCCAATTTTGATTTTAACGTTTCTAAAAAAATTTAAAATTTTTTTTTTAAAAATCACACACAAGGGTGCCCCATTCCATATTCAAAACCATCCATAACTACTAAAAAGGTCTCTCATACTTATCTCACTATCTTTTACGTAAGTCCATTAGACAACCTCTTAAACTTCAGAAGTTATATGAATGAAGCTACAGTTTATCTAATATTTCAGTCAAGATATCTGGCAAACCCAAACCTCTCCTGCCTCCTCTCCCTTTCCCTGGTGCTGGGGGTCAAACCCAGGGATACACTCTTGACAGGCACCAATCCTCTCTTTAAAATACATCAAAAATCTGTTTGAACTGATAAACTCAGTAAGGTGGCAGGACATAAAATCAACACACTAAAGTCAATTGCTTTTTTTTAATAATACACTAAAAATGAAACTACTGAGAAAAAAATCAATTCCATTCACAATAATTACAATAACAAAACAAAACCTAGGAATAAATTTAACCAAGGAAGTGAATAATCTCTACAATAAAAATTACAAAACAATTATGAAAGAAATTAAAGAGGATGCAAAACATGGAAAGACATGCCCTCTTCATGGGTGGAAAGAACAGTGTTAATATGTCCATTCTGCCCAAAATGATCATCAGATTCAAAGCAATCCCTACCAAAATATCAATGACATTCTTCACAGAACTAGAAAAAAAAAAATCCCAAAACTCATATGGAACCAAAAAACTTACAACAGCTAAAGCAATTCTAAGCAAGAACAACTAAGCCAAAATAATGAATGCTGGCAGGGATGCAGAGAAAGGAGAACTCTCATACACCGTTAGCTGTAATGTAAGTTAGCGTAGCCATTATGGAAAACAGTATAGAGGCGCCTCAAAAATCTAGAAATAGAATTATGATTCAACAGACCCACTACTGAGTATATATCCAAAAGAAGTGAAATCAGTATGTAGAAGAGTCACCTGCACTCCATGATTAATTGCAGCACTGTCCACTATAGCTAAGATATGGAATCAACCTAGGTGTCCATCAACAATTGAGTGGACAAAAATATTGTAGCATATCTACACACAATTCGTCATAAAAAAAAAAGAATGAAATTCTGTTATTTGCAGCAACGTGGAGGAAATTGGAGGACATTATGTTTAGTGAACTGTTAGGCAGAGAAAGGTAAATGCTACATGTTTTCACATGTGTATACTAAAAAAAATGCTACTTCTTTGGCCTTCTTAAATGACTAAATTCGGCATATCTCTGCCCTCAAAGTGTGGCAACAGTTAAGGATGCAGGAATAAACATTTCCTTTGAAAACTAGTCTTCTATTTCCACCCACTCAGAAGAGTAACCGAAATACTTAGAATCATTTCAAATGTCTGAATTTTAACTAGTTCTTACATAGTTCTAAAGAAGTACCAATATCATCTTGGCATTCATAACCCAAAAATCAACTTTCAACCTTGAACTTTCTTTTTCGAAAGGTGGCTGCCTAGGAAGTCTCAAGGAACACTACACTCAACTTTTTTCTTTTTTTCAAAGTCAAGAGTACTGTTCCAGTTTCTTGTTAAAGATATTTAGCAGCTTTGAAGGCTGAGACCTGCTTAACAGGCTTACAAACCCCAGTGACTACGTGCATGGCGCCCATAAGGTCTGGACAGACTCATATTAAAAAGCCTGATATACATGGTTTCATTTAGTCCTTCAAGCTGACCATCAGGTAGTTTCTATTGCTAGTCCCCATTTTCAACATGAAGTTCAGAAAGGTTAAGGCACGTTCCAGGTCACACGGGCAGTAAAGGGGCATAAACCAAGGTTCCAAGCCTGCTTCGGGACGCGAACACTCCTGACCAGCACCCACGCGGCCTGCAGTCACCACATACTTTCCTCTAGCTTTCATACACAGGAGGTTCGGTCAGGCTTCCCGGATCTGGGAAGTCACCCGGCAAGCTAAGAAGATCTCTAATGAGGCTCAAGACACCTCGCCCAGCCACCGAAATTTGGACGAAACGCGCTGAATCGGAGGTTTTCGAGAGCAAGACGGGGGACACGGACTGATAGTGACCCAGACAGGACCTCTCCTTCCGGTCAGCCAGGGGCCCGAGCCGAACACCCAACAAGGCGGAAAGCCGAGCGCGCCGACGGGGCATTCCGGAGAGGCCCGGGGAGACCCGACGCACGCCCTTCGCCGCTTCCAGCCGCGCGCTACAGACGCGACACCGGGCTGGAGGAGCCCGGGGAAGTCAAGGGGAGACGGACGCACCTAAGACGGTGAAAGATAAGGGCAACTCGCCTTCACCTTCCAGCGGCAGAAGGAACTCAGTGGCTTAACTTCGAAGTGAGACGGGCAGATTCGCAGAGCGGGTTTCCCATAAGCAATCAGTAAAAAGGAAGCCCGGGCCGGGTTAGGTGTGACACCGCCTTCGCCCCGCCCTTTCCTGTGGCCGCCCGGAGCAACTTCCTGTGGCGGCTCCTCCGCTAGCTCTAGGCTGCTCCATGCCGGGGCCGGTTCCTAGCTTCTGACCCCCGAGCGGACACCGGAGGCCTCCTTTTGGTCTCCGGTAATGAACCAGAAACCTAGTCCGAGTGTCGTGCGTCAGGAAGACCCTTGAAGGGGCAAAATGTGCTGCGAGAAGTGGAACCACGTGGCCGAAATGTTTCTCTTCGTTGACGAGCGGGAGGAGGACTGTAAGATCCATTGCCTCTGCTCCAGGGCTTTTGTGGAGTAAGTAGAAACTGATCTCTCTTCATTTCTGGCCCTATCGTTGCCCAGTAATGTCGGCGTGGCAAATACACTTGTAATGGTTCCTTATAAACAGATTTTTCGACCCTGTGGCAGGGCGGTGTTGAAGAAAAACAAAACCCGGGAGAGGTAACGGAGTGGTCGCCCACGGCGAGTATTGGGTGAACGACTGAGGCTGACCTCGTAGGCTGGTAGGGGAAAACGTGGTAGTTTAAACATCACTTCCTGTTTACAGATTGAGAGGGCATTTTAAAGTTAGGAGGAAGGGAAATGTACAACGAAATTCCAAATGAATGTGAAGGTTTGAAGTTGAGTAACCTGGTTTTGGTTAGCCTCTCTTTTCAAACATTAAAATCTGTTCAAATGCGTGTACTTGGAAAGTCTAGCTGTTTGAGATGAAAGGCTTAACTATTTTTACAACTGTTTTGGAGATAGCTTTGTTTGGGGAAAATATTGACAGTAAAAATTGCAAGAAAAGTAGAGTGGGGGGTGCAAATTGTAATCTAAAGACTGTTTTCTTTATAGGTAGGTTAAGCCATTTAAAGATTTTTTCATTTCTGAAACGGGTATAGTTACCCTAATTATTGCATTCTGCCGCTTGTATTAAAATCCCCTTTGTGCCGGGCGCGGTGACGCACGCCGGTAATCCCAGCCGCTTTGGAGGCTGAGTTTGGAGGATTGTGAGTTCAAAGCCAGCCTCAGCAAAAGCGAGTCGATAAGCAACTCAGTGAGACCCTGTCCCTAAATGAAAAATACAAAAGAGGTCTGGGGATGTGGCTCAGTGGTCGAAATGCCACTGAGTTCAATCCCCAGTACACACCAAAAAAATCGTCATTGGAAGTGACTTTCAGGTGATAGATTATAAATGTAGTTTAATGTAGGAGAATTTAAGTTAGAAGAAATTATTTTTCATTGTGTGTTTTTGTGAAGTAATCTGAAAATTAAACCCAAAAAAGTAAACTCCATATTAAATTTAATGTAAAAGTATTGTCCCCTTTGTAGTCAGGCATGCGTACAAGTATGTATGTATTTGATGAATACTTTCTGATCCCCTGTGTATCAGATATGCTGGAAGGCACTGGGGTACTTAAAGCCTGTCCCTGCCTGCATTGAATTTTCTTTCTAACAAAGGAGATCAATATTAATTTTAAGAAAGCTGATTATATAATTACTTGACTAATTATAGTTATGAGTGCCATGAGAGAGAAGTATTTGATTCTTCACTGATAACCTAACTTTTCTCCAAGGGTCACAGAGGTTTTGGGGGAAAAGTAACATTTGGAAAGAGGTCTAAAGGTAATAAACTGGGGTAAGATTGAGTGAGAGGAAGCATTCCCTGCAAGCTGAACTTTGATAAACCCTAGGAAAAGCAAAAGAAAGCCTGTGAAACCAAACAAAGTGACTGGCAAGGAAAAATAGGAGATAAGGTTGGTAAAGTCAGCAGAGTAAAGACATACAGGACATTGGATACTTTATATAGTCCCTGAATTCACAATGACTCAATTTAATGATGGTGCAAAAGCAAATTATTCAGGAGAAATCATATTCAGATTTTGAATTGTGTTCTTTTCCTGGGCCAACAATATGCAGTGCCATACTCTTGTGATGCTAGGCAAAGCAGAAGCAACATCTCACAGTCCCAACCCCATGAAAACAATCTCTACAGTTTACTGTGTTACTAAACTAGGATATTTGGTGGATGTATTTTCAGTTCAAGATAGGTTTATCTGGAAATAACCACATCATAAATCAAGGAGCATCTATATAGGAAAACCTTATACTTGGAATGACATAATCAAATTAACATTTTTTTAAGTTGTAGTTGGACACAATACCTTTATTTTATTTATTTTTATGTGGTGCTGAGGACCGAACCCAGCACCTCGCTCGCACATGCTAGGCAAGTGCTCTACCACTGAGCCCCAGCCCCAGATTAGCAGTTTTTAAAGATTACTCTGGCAGTGGATAGCAGGAGAACCACTGAAGCCTGTTGTCCAGGCAAGAAAAAATATTTGCTTGCATTAGGATAAATGGCAATAGAAATGGGAAAAGATGGGAGAGGAATTATTGGGGTTGGAGATTGGAGTGGATGTGGGGGAATAAAGAAAAGATAAAGAATGGAAAACAGGAGACTTAAGTTAAAGGTAAATTCCTGATTTGGGTCTTATATTGCTGCCTTTCACTGATAATAATCCCTGGAGATTATTAGTTTTATTTGGGGGCAGTGGTGAAGAGATTATAAATTTGATTTTGTATATTTTGATTCTGTGGTACCTACAAGCTAGATAAGGATGGGTTGTATAAGGAGTTGGATATATTAGTTTGGAGCCTTGGAGAATTCTGTGCTGGTCCTAAAAAACCATTAGTTTCAGGGGTAGGGGATTCCATTCTGGAGGAATTCCAACATTTTTTTAAAATGAAAAGAAACCTGATAGATTAACTGAGAAACAGCAAGCCTAAGTATACTGCCATCAAGTGTTTTAGTGAAGGAGTAATTAACATTTGAAAACTATTAAAATTAAAATAACAAGCAAAATGAGAATCTACTAGAACCATTACACTACCTGTGTGACTCACACCATGTACAACCAGAGGAATGAGGAGTTATACTCCATTTGTGTACAGTGTGTCAAAATACATGCTACTGTCATGTATAACTAATTAGAACAAATAAAATTTTTTAAAAATAAATTAAAAAAGAATTCAGTAGAGTAGGCAAAAGTCCATTGGATTGATAATGCCTTGTTGTTTTACATTTTCTACTGACAGCCTCTCCTTGACCAAATGTTCTATGCCTTCTTTAAAATTAGGTCATGTTTGGGGGCCTTGTCTTCAGCCTTCCTGGCCCAGTTTTATCAAGAATCCTGCAAAATCTTTTTAGTGAGAATTCTCAGTCCTTGATTTCTGAGAATACTGGTCATCACTGTAGCAAGAACCTCCTACTGTTGATTTGTCCTCTTAGTAATTTTCCAGTTACAGACTCTACTTACAGCCTATATTTCCCCAACTGCCTGCTGTATTGATGGTTAAGCCAGATCTCTCTACCCTGTTGCTGTGGTCTTTATGCCTATCACAGTAATCTTGAATAAAATCTTTGTTACCATTTTGACAAGTGTCAGAATAACTTTTTCTTTTTAAAAAAAATTATTTTTTCCTTCAGGTCTTCCAGAAGCCCCTTGTGGTATGATTATCTTTACATCATTCAAGTAGAAAATTGAGTTTTAGTAAAAGCCTTAAAAAAAAAGAAAAAGAAAAAAGCCAGTAAATGTAGCCCTGCAATTCTACCCCTTATCTGTGTCACCAAATTTTTTCTACTATCACGCCAGTTGATATGGCATATAGATTTCATTGAATCTTTCTAATTAAGATATTTAAAGTCACTAGAATAACTGATGCCCTATTGAAATACCTTAACATTAATAAGAATTAGTAGGACTGTTCTAGAAACTGAAGACCCTATATTTACCTGTGATCATACCCATGTAATACTGTCTGATGATGATTTCTAGGTTTATATAACAAAATCACTTTTTTGTTTGTTTTCTCTCCAACATAGTCCTGAGCCAAAATTTAAAAGTATTAACCTTGCAGACAGATTATCTACCTGTTTTCCTTTCCCAGTTCTACCAAAAGTCAACTTGTGGCCTTGGGCAAGACACATAAAATTTCTATGATCACATTTCAGCATTTCCAGAAAGGGATTCCTTTCACTTTTACTATTAAAATCTACACTAATCTGTAGTCTTTGCAACAGCAGTATTGCTACTCATACTTAAAGAGATTTTGAAGAGTTCTTTATTCATTCCCATGTATTTTATTTTGACCTTGGAAGTGTAAACCACTGATAGAAGATAACTTAGTGACAGTAGTGGTAATTGTTGTATTCAAAAGTATGTTGATGATGGCATTTGCAGATAATGGATGGAGTTAGAGAATAAAATGCTAAGTGTAATAAGCCAATCCCCAAAAGCCAAAGGCGAATGTTTTCTTTAATATGAGGATGCTGACTCCTAATGGCAATGGTGGATGGAGTGTGGGAGGAATGGAGGAACTTTAGATAGGACAAAGGAAAGGGAGGGAATAGAAGGGGCATGGGAGTAAGAAAGACTGGTGTAATGAGTTAAACAATCATTACCCTAAGTACATGTATGAAGACACGAATGGTATGAAAATACTTTGTGTACAACCAGTGACTTGAAAAGTTGTACTCTATATGTGTAATATGAAATCAGTTGCATTCTGCCATCATATATAAAATTAGAATAAATTAATAATTTTTTAAAAAGTATGATGATGAGAATTGGTAGCTGCTTAGTCAAGACTCAGAGTAGAACAGTGTCTTAATGGGGGCCTCCTATTTTATAATTCAAGTCAAAAGTTAAGATTTACTTAGCTCTTACGTGTACCATGTCCAGAAGTTTATTCATGCCGAATCTTTAAGCACTGTGGATTGGATTACACTGACCAACCTCTAGATTGCTTTGTAGAGAGTACTTAACAGGTATAATGGGAAATTCTTTAGATACTAGGCATCAGAAATATATCATTTCCAGAGATGAAGACCCTTTGAGATACTTGAAAGTTGTCAAAGGTAGAAAAAATAGTTTTCACATTTTAAGAGTTAGCATTGTCTTACTACTGTTCTTTCTGCCTCATATTATGTGTAGCCTTGGAATATACTAGTAATAATCTTGGAGTACTGTTTCACCTCTCACTCACAAAGAAGTATTTCTTCTGCTTCCACTGGACTTGAAGACTTTTTAAGCTAGGCTTGTAGCCTAGCTCTGGGTGGGACCAAGGAGATCATCAGAAAAGAGTACCTGGTTGTGTGTTAGAGATGTAGGCCAAGAAAGAAGAATCAGTCTGTAGTCTGTGCCAGCCAATATTGTATGCTTATTAACCCTTAGCCAATAACCTGGTTGGGTCCTAGTGTTGCTTAAAAACGTCGAGAGAGGGAATATAAGTTTTAAAATATTTTTAAAAGTTTAAAAATATTTTTCATATCATACCTCTAGAAAACAATGGATGACTGGATTTGAATTAAAGCAACTTTACTTAAAATACAATTTATCACTTAATTACACATTACATTGAATCTAGTCTTTTTGAACTAAAATGTGCATTTTTTCTTTGCAGCTAGTTTCATACATATTCTTAAAACTTAGAAATTAGAATCTCTGCCTCACCTTTTCAAAATAGGTAAAGAGAAGAGAACTTTTTTTTTTTTTTTTAATTTAGCTCTGTTACTGCTCAAATTCTAGCCCTATAGAACAAAAAGAACTTAGAGATAGGATCTTGGAGGATCTTAGAATTGTTTCCAGTAGTCATTGAGAAGTCTATAGGAATGGAAACATGCTGGGAGTTCAGGGACTTTTTAAGAGAGGCAAGAGGTTATTTTATAATTTAAAATCAATATGTTTGATTGCTGAAGGAGATCTAAAATATATTATTTAAAAAGTTCATTACCATATAGCAGAAAACAGCCATTACCATAGGTTCCATGTGTCTTTTCAGTGCTTAACAGCTGTTTCTCATACAAAATTATTGCAATATATCACCTCAAAGGCAGGAAATATGAAATAATATTGTAACAACATTTTATTTTCTAGCAGTCCTATATCAACAATGTTTTATGGACACTAAATTTTCTATTTAATGTACATAGTCAAGTTTCTATATATTATCTGTAGGAGGAAGATGTAATTGGATTATTATGGAGCTCTTGATCACTACAGCATCTTTGTAGCAACAATTTTTAAACTAACCTTGGCATTGACTGGGTATAGTGGTGCACATCTGTAATCCCAGCAACTTGGGAGGCTGAAGCAGGAGGATTGCAAGTTCAAGGCCAGCCTCAGCAACTTAGGCCCTAAGGAATTTAGTGAGATCCTATCTCAAAAAATAAAAGAGCTGAGGATGTAGCTCAGTGGCAAAGCATCCCTGGTTTTAATCCCCAGTACCAAAAAATAAATAAACAAACTCGTATTAAAATATGAAAGTGCAAAATATCTATACTATGTCTGCAACTATAAAATTTTTGCTTATGTAAAAAGTTTAGCATAAAAGAGGAAAATGCTGAAGTGGTGAGGCTCGATTTTTGTTATGAAATTGCTTGTGCTACTAGGAAACAAAAGCTATGTATATCTATATAAATGCATATTATGTTCTTCTAACCTTTGAAGAACAAATCATAGAAGTCATTCTGAGTATTCCATTAAGTATGTTCCCAAAACAAAGGTATTCTCCTGTATAACCACTATGGATTCAAATTTCCCCAGCTTTCCCAATAGTATGTCTCTCCTTTCTGATCTAGGATCCCACGTAGGAACCTGTTGTGTTTACTTTATGTGTCTTACCTGAAAAAAATCCCTTCCTCTTTTGGAAACTACATCCTAAGTTTCATATTTTCCTTTTCATGTCCTCAACAATTATAAAAGTTTGTGACCTTACATCCTGTAGGTTGACTTTACTTAACCTGGGACTATCTGACTGTGTCATCAGGAACACAGGTCATGCCTCAGCAGGAACTCCAGAAAAATGATATGCTTAGCTCTGTATGGCTTCAGGAGGCACTTTGGAAACCATTTCTCTAGGGGTGATATGGTTCCCAGTTTTTTCTACTGTAAATTCAAAATGGTACCCTTTGTATTAATCAGTATTTTGGGGGGGCATATTCCAATATGTAATTGGAATTAGTAGTGTAATTCCAATTTACACCAGTGTCCTGTTCCTCAAGTCTTTTCCTTGACTAATAACTTCCACTTCAGTCAGCTACCTCTATGAAGGTTGGCAAAGAATGATTCTTGCTTCATTCTTTCTCCATTTATTAGCTTTCTATAAGGAGTTCTTTTCCTTCTCTCCTTATGTATTTATATTAATATAGACTCTTGGTTTATTTTATTAATAGGCTGTATTCCATTACTGTCATTATTTTGTTGCTCATAATATCTTTGATTTTGCCAGTGGGGAATCCTTTTGAAGTGTATTTATAGCTTCTGACACAAGATGACCCAGACTTACCTTTCACAGTCCATAGAATTGCCATTTTTCCAGTCCACCTTGGTTAAAACCTGAAAGCTGGGTGCTTTTCGCACTTGTTGCTCCTATGCTCTCTCAGAAGACAGTTAAGCAATACATGTGTGCACACATACATAACACATTTTAAATTATATTTTTAGCTGGGTGTGGTGGCACATGCCTGTAATCTCAACAATTCAGGAGACTGAGGCAGGAGGATCACAAGTTTGAAACCAGCCGCAGCAACTGAGAGAAAACCCATCTCAAAAAAGGGCTGAAATGTAGCTCAGTGGTAGAGAACACCTGGGTTCAATCCCTAGTTCCCTCCCTCTCTAAAATAATGTTTATATATGTGCATATAAACTTAAATAACATTAGTTTTTAACAGTACTTCCAATATTGGCCCAACACCTTGGATTTTTCTAGCTTTCCTCATTTTTAGATGATTGTTTTGAGCCCACCATGTGTTTGGTTAACCATCTTCAACAAGAAGAATCTGGGCTAACCATCCATTTGAGTACAATACATTGGATTTGTACAGAATCTGAGTACAGAACAGTGGATTTTGCAGTCTTGGCTATCAATACATTGTCTCATATATTTACTTATATGCTCATTGAAATCAGTCTGGCAGCCTTACTGGCCCTCTGCTTCACCTGACACCCCATATCTTTGGGCGCTGTCAAGTATACCCCTAATTCCCTGTGTGCAGCTCCCATCCCCTATTTCACCCCGGTACTTGTTCTTGATGGACTTGAGGGCCTGCTGCTAAACACATTTTCACTTGCCTATCCATTGTCCTGTGAGTCATCATCAATTTTATGTTTAATAAAGTATCTCCCCAAAAGAAACAGGAAGATATGAAAATAAATCTACTACACAACAATTTATTGAAGGTCCATTAGAAAAGTAGTGTTAGCTATAACCACCAGTAGGCCTTATGGTAGCAGTTAAAATGAAAGTAGGTATGCGAAGAAATGTTTAATAAGAACTTCATTGTTTGCTAGTCCCCAAAACAACCTTTGCTCTGATCATGAATACCTTGTCTACTAAACAAGGGATAGTCCATTTGCAAGTGGACTAGATAGAGTCTGCCTCTGAATTTATATGTGTGTAAGCTAAATCCTTGTCCTATTATTTTATACTCAATTCTTAACAGCAAAATTTAGAGAATACTACATTGTTTATATATCATAAAGAGGATCAGATTCTTCCCTTAATATCTAGGAGAAATACCACATAATTTTTATAATTAGTAGTTATAAATGCTGCCATGTGTCAGAAACTATGTTAAGTATTTTGTATATACTATTAATCTCTTTTTTTTAAGAGAGAGATAATTTTTTTAATATTTATTTTTTTAGTTTTCAGTGGACACAACATCTTTATTTTACTTTTATGTGGTTCTGAGGATCGAACCCAGCGTCCTGTCCATGCCAGGCGAGCACGCTACCGCTTGAGCCACATCCCCAGCCCATACTATTAATCTTTACAACTGTATGAGAAATTTATATTTAACTGTTTTGTAGGTGAGGAGAATGTGTTAGCATTTTGCTTTTATATTCCTTAATCTTTTTATGAATTAATAGTTCAATTTATTTTAATATGGACTACTTAATTTGTTTCACAGGGATCGAAAATTATGCAACTTGGGATTAAAAGGCTACTATGTCAGAGGCAGTGGCAACAATGCAGGTAATGTAGTATAAAATTGTATGCCCTTATTTTGCTAAAATTGACCCTAATGTTGTATTAATTTGTGTACAGTTTGTTAATGTAAATTTGCTAACTTTAAATGATAAGTAGCAAATAATCCTATAATTAGTCCTTTCATATATACATATATTATCTAATTTCATATATATTATGAATATTATATATCTACATGCATACATGGTTCTAGACTCTTCATCAAAGCAGATACTTTATTTTTCTATACCTCCTTTATGGACTTGATGTAGCCTTTTTTACCCTGTGCAGCATTCCTTCCTGAGTTGTTGGCATTAGATAAGAGCAGTCTGGAATTTGAAACTTTGAAAAATAGAGAATGTGTAGTTTCTTAGTTTCTTCATTAAAATTTATTTTGTGTACCAGCGATTCATGATAGATTCCAAATAACTAGCCGTAGTCTTTACTTGAAGTAAAGAGGCCACCCCTTATCTGGTTAACTTTTCCAAATAACATAAAATTTGGTCTATACCTTGAGTCTGTCTTAGACTTTCCTACTCCATTGGCCCTTCCATGTAGACATTTCATGTTTCTAGATATAGATTAAAACTGCAGCATGGAGTTAGAAGCCGGAGCCAGATTAAGTACATTCTGTCACAGTTATCTTTGAAAATCCTTTAACTCCCATAGTGGCACCTAACTTTTGTTTATTTATTTAGCAGTACTAGAAATTTAACACAGGGGTGTTCTACTTCTGAGCCAGATCCCCAACTCTGTTTTGTTTTTAGACAGTGTCTTACTTAGTTGGCCAGGCTGGCCTTGAACTTGTGGTCCTCCTGCTGCAACCTAAGTCACTGGAGTTATAAGCATGTGTTACCACATCAAGTTTAACCTCATAATGATGGAATAAGACACTGTTTCTTCAGTCACAAACTAGAAGAAATGTGTGATTTGAGTTTCAGGGCTATGCTGGACAAATAAGGTTTCTGTGAATAGTAGGTTACTACTGAATGTAAGATATGCATACCAAGAGAGACAGATAACACTTAGCTGATTCGTTTTGCTTTCTGTGCTTTCATAAGTTCACTGAGTAAAATAATAAATGGAGTCCTTCCATTATTAAGATAAGTACCTTTTTCCACTTTTAGGAAGCTGTGTGAGTAGAATTTGCAAACATAGATTTCCCTTTTATCAGTGTCCTGTGTTTATTATGTAAGATTCACTGATGTGTTACTTGAGATCATCAAGCTGGAGTGCAGTTCAACACTAATTGAACTAATATATAAAGTGATCTTTATCTTGCATTTTAAATAGCTAATAGAGCACTTGAATGACGTTTTTGTAATTAGTGGTATAATCTATTAAATAGCCACATTAGGAAAGGTAAAAAAAAAAAATTATAATAGCTTTTCTTTAAGAGCTAAACTAAGGAGCTTGAAAGAATTCTAGTTCTGTGGATTCAGACTTTTAGCAGATTCTTTCATGAAATCAACTCTTGCACACAATCCCAGGACCTAAATCCCTGCTGTATTGAAGTGTCCCAGGGGCCTAAAGAAAACATACTTCTCACCTTCTCACCTCTCTGGTTAATAGCTTGTAACATAACTCCACAAATCATGAGTTTAAATTTTCTGATCTTGTTCAGTAATTTTGCAGATAACAAATATGAATATGTAAGTACTTTCTTCACAGTTATATTTCCCTGTGCCCTCTTCATTTTTTTTTTTTTTTTTAATTTCTCAGAACTGGGGATTGAATCACAGGCCTCCAGCATGCCAGGTAACACACTATACTACTGAGATTCATCCCCAGCCCCCATGAAATTGGTTCTTGATTTTTCATTAACTGTTTTTTGTACTAGTCAATATTTCCATCAATTCTTTTCATTTTTATAAAACATCTTAACACTTTGAGCAAGTCATATGATTACTAAGGATTTAGTGTTCTTTAAATTGAGGAAAACTTGTCTCTAAATGTACTCTAAAACTAACAAATGGCTGGGTACAGTGGTGCACACCTGTGATTCCAGCAGCTCAGGAGGCTAAAGCAGGAAGATCATGAGTTCAAAGCCAGCCTCAGCAACTTAGTGGGTCCTAAAGCAACTCAGCGAGATCCAAAGGCTGGGGATGTGGCTCACTGGTTAAGCACCACTGGGTTCATCCCTGGTACAAAAACAACAACAACCAAAAGAAAACTAACAAATGCTGTCTTGCTGTCTATAGGAGACCAAGCTACAGAAGAGGAGGAAGATGGTCATTCCAATGGCACTGCAGAATTGCATGACAGCAAAGACATAGGCCTAGATGAAAGTGAACTTGATTCTGAGGCCGAACTCATGAGAAGTATGGGATTGCCACTTCAGTTTGGTGGAGTGTCTACACATAAGAGTTTTGAGGTAATGTACTTCTATTATTTCTGCTTTTTTACTTTTTTTCATAAAATAGCACAAGATATTTTTTTAAATCCCAAATCAAATGCATTCATAGAGCATTTCGGGGGGTGGGGGGCTGGGGGGTTCTGGGAATTAAAGTGGTAGAGCAGGGGTGCTCTACCACTCAGCTATATCCCTTGCTCCTTTTACATCCCTAAGTTGCCAATGCTGGCCTCCAGCTTATGATTGTTTTTACCTCAGCTTCCAGAGTCTCTGGGATTACAGGCATGTGCCACTGTACATGACTCCCTCTTTTTAAATGTATAGATTTTAAAGCTAACCAAAACTGAAAATTGTGTTATGTCCCTTTTGTGACTTTTCCTTCTCTTGGGAACTTATTTTTTTATTTGTGGTACTGAGGGTTGAACTACATCCCCAGCCCTTTTTTATTTTATTTTGAGACCAGATCTCACTAATTGCCCAGATGGGCCTTGAACTCCGATTCTCCTGCCTCAGCCTCCCAAGTAACTGGGATTACAAGAATGTTCCATGTACCCAGCTCTTGGGAACTTAGGAGGGGTCAGTTGTTCCTGTGTTTAAAAGCCCAGGGTGAGAATGTCAAAATAGATTTGTGTTCTACCTTCTTTTATAACTTATGAACAGCATTTTATATTCAAGTTATTATTTATCTGATGTAGATATCTATGAATACAAAAAATAAAGTTAAAGTAAAAAAGAAGAAGAGGAAACCTCAAAAGAAGTACTTAGATGAAATTATGCAAGAGTCTTGGAGAAAAGAATATGAAGAAGATGACCATTTGGTTTCAGATGACCCATCTTCAGTTGAACAGAATGAGAACACTAGAACATGTGAACTTCAAAATAAAAGGAACATTGAAACAGAAAAACTTTCTGTTGAAAATACATTATCTCCAAAATTTGAAATTACAGAGAATTGGGAAAGGTATTGGAATAAATATGGAGGAGAACTGTTATGGCAAAGCTGGCAAGAAAAACATCCAGATCAAATACTATCTGCTGAACCTTGGAACTTTCCTGATACAAAGGAAAAATGGGAACAACATTACAGTGAACTTTATTGGTATTATTTGGAGCAATTTCAGTATTGGGAAGCTCAAGGTTGGACTTTTGATGCTTCACAAAGCTGTGATACAAATACCATTGCATCTACAACAGAAATTGTCAAGAAAGATGAAAATATTGTGAAAGTGGACTTAATATCTTTTCCATCTTCACCTATCACAGTTGATAAAGAAAGCTCTGATTCAAGTGATAAGGATCATAATGAAATACTTGATGGAATTAGTAATATAACTCTGAGTTCAGAGGAAGTAGAACACAGCCAGTTACATTCCTCTGTAAGTTGTGATGGACAGCTAAGTGAAGTTAGTGGGAGAGAATGTCCTGCTTCTGGTCAAAGTGAGCCATGTGATGGAGGAACCAAGAAAAGCAACTTATCTGGGAATAGAAGCGCAAATCAACTAGCTCAGGGTAAGATTAGCCAAATTTATTCTGCTAAGCAGTAGTTAGCAAAATGAATCAACATTATGTGAAACAAAAGAATTTGACCTTTCATTTAACATTTGTGTTTGCTTTGCTTATCTCAGATTGCTGATCTAGTTGAGTTTTTGAAAAACTGTGCTTTCTTTTCTCTGTATTCTTAACAGTGGGTCTTACCTTAATATAATATTCTCATTCTTTCCTCTTTTGGTGTTATTTTCATTCTTTTTTTATCTGGTGGTTTTGTATTAGTCTTCCACTTCTATACACTCTTGATGTGTTTCTATACTTATTTTGACCATAAAGTTTATAATGCGCATATTGGTCAATGTGTTGGCTTTTATGTTACTGTCTCATATTACTTCCTTTAATTTTTTTTTTTTTTACCTGTCTTCTTACTCATTTTTCTTTTTCCAGATACAATACACCTTCCCACAAGGTTTGCTTTATATTGCTTGTTCCTTAGTTAAGTGCACAGGTTGGCTATTTCAGTAATATACTCCAGTGTGTCTGCCATCAGAATCAATTTAATGACTTCAGGTTTTGATTTGTTTTAGACCTTCATTAAGATCAAAATGTAAGGACTGAGGTTGTGGCTCAGTAGTGGAGCACTCACCATATAAAGATAATAAATAAAGGCATTGTGTCCATCTACAACTAAAAACTATTTTTTAAAGAGATCAAAATATAAGATGTATGTTAAATTTCTGTGTAAGTGCAGTTGGTATTTTCTTTATGTATTCTAAGTCTGACCCAAGTCAGAATTTCCCACTGTCTGCCTTGCAAGTTTCCCCTTCTAATCTCACCCAATCTGATGGAATTTGTAGAACAATGATAGACATGTCTCAGAGCCACCTCAGTTAAGGATATTGTTTTTAAAATTATACTCATCTTAGTTACTTACATTGTCGATTTAAGAGCTACATTAAAGACAATTATATTTACTTTGTAATGGAGGAATTTCCTTTTAATTATTGTGATCATGCTGTCTTTAGAGTCATTTCAATTAATGTTTCTTAATAATGTGATTGCCAAGAACTACCACAATGTTAACTTTGTAGATTAATTTGTATATTAATAAGTAGTTACAGTTAACACATCACTATTTGATATAAATATAGGAGACCACTAGTATGCACATATGTAGTCCATATTGACCAAAACATTGTTATGTAGTACATGACTATATAGTTAGAACATAGAAGCTTATACCTGCCTTTTTTTCCCCCTTGGATTCTGCATGTAGACACACTGGTAGATGTATCCTGCCACTTTGCTGATGCAGCTCTTTTCCTGCTGTTGCAGGAAAGGCACCAAAATATTTTGATTGCCTTTGTAAATGGCAGAAAAGTTGCCAAACCAAGGAGAAAATCTGCTTTAATATCTCTGCCTCTTTAGAGCCACAGGAATGTTCGGGAACAAACACAAGCAAAGACAGGCTGCACGCTAGTGGGACTGATGGAGATGAGAGTGAAGAAGATCCACCTGAGCATAAGTCCAGCAAACTCAAGAGGAGGTAAGTTGTACATTACCTCTGTCTCTGAAATGTATTAGCATAAGCATTTGTGTCTATGAGTGAGTGTAAGCAGGATCTAACGGTAAGGTACTATGGTTTTAGATCCATGGTCAAATCCCAGCTCTGCTACAAACTGAATACATTTCTTAATTTCTCATCTAAGACGGGAGTAGTGCCTTTTTTGGTGAGTTTATTAGGTAGACTGGAGCTAGCCTGCAGTATATCTGACCCTTGATTAATTAATTAATCCATCAATGGATTATAACCTTTAGCTAATAACTGTATACTCCCCTCAGCAGTTCTAATTTTTCTCAAAAGTCTGGGTGTATATAATCCCAGATTTTTATTGCTGAAATGGACCTCAATCTAATGGCATCATTGAATATGAATAGTAATAGTGAAACAAAGAAAAGTACTCTGTTCAATGTAACCATGGCCACTCTAAAAGTAGAGCCAGGACCAACTCTGCCCAAGGCAATAACAAGTAATGTAAGGTATAATGTAGAGTGGAATGGGGTAAATGTTACTGCTGTGTAGATAATAAGGAAAGGATGAATCATTGCAGAATTTGAACTTCAGCTGGAAATACTTCATTTCTCCTATAGGATATGAGGTGCTTCGTATGAGACTTTTGTGCCCTGTATAGCATCTACAAAAACAGTAAGCAAGCTTTGGAGGCTTAGTACCTTAGTACTGAGAACCATGCCTCTACTGTATTCCCTCTGCATGGTAGACATTGCTAATTAATTCCCCATTAGTTTCTTCAAGTTTCTGGAGGCAGAGACCATGCATTTTCTTAAATTTCTGGGACCCAGTAACTACTCAATAGAATATTCAGTGAGCTTAATTGGAAGGACAAACTTTATAAGGATGATTTCTTACCATGTTCACTTGGAACTTTGGCCCAGTTAGGGTTTCTAAAAGATAAATCAGGTGCTTGGGATACTTAATATCACTTATGTTACAAATCATCTTATTCTTTTTTTTTAATTGTTTTTTAGTTGTAGATGGACACAATACTTTTATTTTATTTATTTTTTAATGTGCTGAGGATCGAACCCAGAGCCTCACACATGCTAAGCAGGTGCTCTACAACTGAGCCACAACCCCAGCCCATTTCCATCCTTCTTAATGACATTTTTTCTTTCACAATTTTTTTTGGTCAGATCAATAGTTCTCAAGTTTTTTCTTACTTGTTTTTAAGGAGAACCTCTAGGAAATCAACTATAGGAGATTAATTTCAGGCTGTAGCTTTTACTGGTGTTTTTTTCTAAAGGAAAATGAAGAGACCTATATTTGTACCATGTTTAGGAATAAAGGTGATTATTTGCCATGGTTTAAGATTTGAGTGTTCCTTACTATGTTTCAAACACTTCTGGGTCAGGTCATTTGGAAAATCCAAATTAAGGTATTGTTTCTCTGGGATTTTTGAACTATGGTTGATTATTCATACTTCCCTAAACTGGTGAACTCTGAAGGGGGAAGTATAATGACTTGTAACTGTTTACCTTTTTCTTTTTCTTTTTTTCCCCCCTTTTTTTTATTCAGCCACGAACTGGACATTGATGAAAACCCAGATACAGACCTTAATGACAATGATTCCTTTCTGGGATTCAAGCATGGCTCAGGACAAAAGTAACTATTCATAATTATTCCCCCTCTTCCAAGAATCCTAACCACTTCAACTATCTTAAAACTCTTTACTAGTCTTATAGATGATAAATAATATTATATTTGATAGCATTTGAGATGCTAGAATTAAAACACTAACTTTTCTTGTTAACAAGAATTGCAGTAGAGATATCACTGTACCTTTGATGTATTCACTGTGTTAATTCAGTTGCTCTTCCTAGTAGTCCAGTGTTGTTCCATTTCATAGATGAAACGTGCAGTTTAAAGGTGGTGTTTTGTTTTGTTTTGGGTGGGTACCGGTGATTTAACTCAGAGACACTAGACCATTGAGCCACATCCCCAGCCCCGTTTTTGTATTTCATTTAGAGACAGGGTTCTTGCTGAGTTGCTCAGTGTCTGGCTTTTGCTGAGGCTGGCTTTGAACTCAGGATTCTCCTGCCTCAGCCTCTGGAGCCGCTGGATTACAGACATGTGCCACCACACCCCACTCCTAAAGGTTTTGACTTGGCCAAGATCCATCATTTACTGGAGGAAGATTTAAGCCCAGCTCTTGGTTTTCACCTAGTATCTATCTCACCTATCTACTCCACTGTACATCTGGCGACCCAGCAAACATGGCATGAAAAATTCATTTCTACATTAACCTTTTTTCTTATTATAAAAGTAGTAAAACTCAAGGCTCAGTATTGCAGGTGTTGCATGCCTGTAATCCTAGCTACTCTGGAGGCTATGGCAGGAGAATCACACTTTCAAAGCCAGCCTCACAGCCTCAGCAACTTAGTGAGGCCCTAAACACCTCAGTGAGACCCTGTCTCTAAATAAAATACAAAAAAGGGCTGGAGATGTGGCTCAGTGGTTAAGTGCCCCTGAGTTCAATTCCTGTACCAAAAAAAAGTAAAAAAGTCTTTTTTTTTTTTTTTCCCCCCAAATCATTCCCAGAGGTAGGCAGTGTTTAAAGAGTTTGGCATATCTCCTTCCAAATTTACTTGTGTATGGTTTTATGCCTAACTACATGTTACTTCCCTTTTTATAAAACACAAAAGTAAGACCATACTATACATACTCTGCCCCTTGTTTTTCTCCTTCAGCAATACCAAAGACAGCCTCCTTGCTGATGTACAGAACATTTGCCTAATTGTGTTGAATTCACCATCCTGATCAGCAACATCTAAGTTATTTCCTCAGATCTAAGTATAATGCCTTTGGCCCCTCCAGATTATTGCATGTATCAATCATTCTTTCCTTCTTATTTATTACTGAAGTGTATTTCATTCTGTGGATGTACCAAAAGCTCTTTTGATTTGTTTTCACCTATTGAAGGGTATATGGGTTGTTTCTGATATTTTGCTATTACAGACAAGATAGCTACATTTGTCTATAGAAACAGAAATTTTCTCCAAGAGTAAATGCCCAAGCATTAAACACAAGGAAGTATGAATGAGTAGGTAATAATAGAACGTGGTCAGTTTTCTCTTTTATGAGTGGAAGACTGAACTGATTACAAAAGGCAGGCCAAAGATGTACTATTTATGTCAGTTTACACCAGTGTTTTAAGCCGAGACCAGAGTCCTTGATGTTTCTAAATGTTGAGACTTTATGTTCTACTTTCCTATTTTATAAAATTCAAATGGGCACCTGCAAATTATGAAAAGAGGAAAATAACATGGAGAAAATCTCACAATTGATATATAAACTGACTCCAAACTAGTTCAAAAGTACATGCTAGCCAAGCACATGTAATCCCAGCTACTTAGGAGACTGAGGCAGGAGGATCAACCAACCTGGGCATTTTAGTGAGACCCTGTTCTCAAGATAAAAATGGGCTAGGGGTATTACTCACTAGTACAGCACTTACTTAGCATTTATAAGGCCATGGTTTCAATTTCCGATACCACAGGGGGAAAAAAGTACATGTTAATAATTTTAATACTATATAAATAGTTTCTAAAGTCCCCTTTAGGTACTTGAAGACAGTTGTAGTTCATACACTCATTTAAAGCTGAAAATCATGAAGTTTAGCAGTGCAATGAATTTTGAATTCCTATGCTATGCACATGTAATTTTATTTGTGAAACTATTGTATAGTTCTTAGTATATACTCACAGAGATCTATTTTTGTTGCCTGGCATGGTGGCACACATCTGTAGTTCGGAGGCTGAGGCAGAAGGATCGCAAATTCAAAGCCAGCCTTGGCAACTTAGTGAGGCACTGAGCAACTCAGTGAGACCCTGACTATAATTTTTTAAGAAGGGATGAGGATGTGTCTCAGTGGTTAAATGCCCCTGGATTCAATCCCTTGTACAAAAAAAAAAAAACAGATGCTATTTTGATACCTGGGGCTTAACTTCATTGTTGTCCTTCTATGTAAAGCGCTCAATTCTTAGAGGGGTAGGATTAATTTTTATTATAAAGAAGTTTATAATATAGCTGTCAGAGGAGGGAGTCAAGTAACACTTGATATAGTCAAAGATTCATAGCAGATCTATATATCTTTTAGAACCGGAAAAAATCAAATGCTTAGATCATTTTGCTCTGATAACTTTTTATAATAGGGGTTTGTTTTTTGTGTAAACTTAGATTGATCTAGCTTAAGAATTTAGTGACTACTCTTAAAATAATTTGAACATGTCCAGATAAATGTTAAGAGCTTTGGCATTGTCCCACATTGAGAAAAAATTTCCTAACAAAGGGATATATGTCTTTGCTATTTCTTTATTGCAATCTACTATAAAATTTTCTACTTTCAGCTCTACATTAGAAATGTTGATGTTCCCATTTTTGGTGTTTCACATTGTCTTTAAAATTAATATAAAATCTAGTCTACAAACTCTTTTGCAATTTGTATGTGAATTGCTGGTTTTTATAATTTTGGAGAAAGAAAGAAAAAAAAACCAAAATACTGTAGAAATTGTGCGTGAACCTCTTCTTTTGGTCTGGTTGCAGATACGGCGAAATTCCAAATTTTAGTCGTCGACAGGTCAGGTATCTAGATAAGAATGTGAAACGTAAGTCAAAGTACCTAGACATGCGCAGACAAATAAAGATGAAAAACAAGCACATCTTCTTTACTGAAGAATCAGAAAAACCATTTCTCAAGAAAAGCAAAGCTCTGAGCAAGGTAAGTATACATTTTGTTTTATAAAAAGAATCACATTTTATGAGCTTGACTCCTTAAAATTGTATTCAAATGGAAACCCTATTTCTATGAGCTACAGGACTACCTAAAATTCTTTTCCACTTGCTTCCAGAAGGCTTATATTGTGTAGACTAGATTTGAAAAACAGGAATTTGAGGTATTATGGAAAGGAAGTGTTTGAAAATTATAAAAATGTAGTGTCTAGAAAGGTAAATAAGTTAAATTGTCTTATTTGTGTAGTAACAGACAAGGACAGGGGCATGTCTCTTTCTAGACTAAGTAAGATCCTGGTAATCCAAATTCCGATGCAGCTTTTCCTGTAAGTCTTAATTCTGAGCTTGCCTGGAGAGGGTGGATCACCCTTTATAATAACAGGCTCACCCCAGTAGCACAAAATTCAAGGCCGGCTTATTGATTCACATTGTAACCTGAAATATTAATGTCCCTCCTCTCAGACTTGACCTTACCTACCATCCAAATACCTGGGAAACGAAAAAAATTAGAAGATTGCTTGTGCTATGAGTTTATCCTTTTATGTTCTAGGGGGAAGTGCCTTCTAATCAGTGGAACCTTAGTATTAGTCATATTGCCAGCAATTTTTTAGGGCACAAGAACATAATCTCTGACTCCATGCTGACTTTGTTTTACCCTTAGGGTACATTATTCTATCTAACTTCAGCTTGAGTGCCAAATAGGCTACAAACCTATAGCTGGTTTTATTTTTTATTATCCATCAGGTTGGTTAGTTGCTGGTGATATTTTTATGAATAGTTTAGTGGCACTCTGAAACAGAGTGCCGAGTCCAGTCCATCCTGTAGGACTTTTTGTAGTATGTTGGATGTGGTAGTCCCCTATGTTCCTCTATAAATGAGAGCAGAAGTGTGGCTGCTGTGTCTCTGGATTTCTGACTAAGCATAGGCAGATTTCCCTCAGGAGTATTCTAGGCTTTTACCCATCATACATCTACCACTGTCATTCTCATGAAGTCTTATGAAGGTCATGAAGGCCTGATATGAAGAATATTCTTGTTACAGAAGATACAGGGAAGTCTGTTGTCTAACTTTGGGCCTTGTTAACATTTCAATGAATAACCGTACTTTATTGCTACTTATTTTACGGGCTCTGCTATTTTCTTAAGATGGTGCTCATTCTTTCTGTAACACTGCTTTTATTTTTGAAGACAAATTGGAACTAAATTTTTCAGAATGCTTATTTAATGTCACATAACAGTTAACATAGATTGTAGGTTGGCCATTGCAGAAGACACTGTATAACTTGAAAAAGACTAAAATTAATGATTCAACATTATGTATCATTTGTAATGATAATATCATAGCACAGCTATATTGTTAGGAGCTGTTATGAAAAGCTACTACTGAAACAGTTTGGCTTTATCCCCTTAGTGTCAACTTATAGCACAAAGTATTCAGTATTTTCCTTGATTTTTAAGAAATCTTTTTAATAAGATCAGGGAATGCCAAGATAAACTCCAGTTATCCAAGAATTACTTACATTAGCTTCCATGATGCAATAATTTCTTAGAGCTCATAATTTTTTTTAAGAGAGAGAGAGAGAGAGAATTTTTTAGTATTTATTTTTTAGTTTTCGGCGGACACAACATCCCTGTTTGTATGTGGTGCTGAGGATCGAACCCGGGCCGCACGCATGCCAGGCGAGCGTGCTACCGCTTGAGCCACATCCCCAGCCCCAGAGCTCATAATTAAGAGATAGTTTGTCAGTCAAGTCACATATGGCAACTGATGAGAAGATTCTGTTTAGTATTAACTCATATTTATGGTGATAATCTTAAAATTTCAGGTAGAAAAATTTCTAAAATGGGTTAATGAACCAATGGTTGTGGAAGCATTGCAGGAATCATCTTCACATGATAATGTGCAAGACACTTGCACCAGTACTGATTCAGAGGATCAAGACATGTCTATTAGTAAAGCTGATGACCCAGAGAATCTAGAACCTGAAAAGTGTCAGACTGTGTCTTCAGCCAGTGAACTTGAAACAGAAAAGAATGAAGGAGACAGTTTGGTAGCATCAGTGCCAGAAAAGCAGGATTGCATTACTCAAGAAATATCAGACTCTCCCCAGGTAGAAACTGAAGGTAAGAGTAAATATGTTTCAACTTGCTGGTAGATTTCAATAAGTACATTTTTTTTCTCTAATTTGTATTTTCTTAAATGATTCTTTTGAATCATTTATACCTCAGAGTCTACTGCTGTTTAATTTTAAGTGGAAAGAGAGCATATTAAGTATATTGGCTAAGATTTGACACCCTTCATTCTCTCACTCTCTTAATACTCTTCACTCTATCACCTAAGAAAAAACAATAAAATCAAAGGGAAAACTGCATCTGAAGACCACATCTGCCATTGACCGTGGTCTCTGCCACCTCTGTTGTATGGGCTGAAGATGGCCCATCCTTCCTGAAATTTTGAATAGCTTAGGTTTTATTTTTGATATTTTGGTGTTTTTGTTTGTTTTTTTTTTTACTTTCTTTAAGTGTGGTTAATGGTGGTTGTTTGTTTCCTTACCAGTACATGAACATAAGATATTCATGGTAGTACCTCTGCTGAATGGAAAACAATAGCATTTTTACTTTATATTCTATATTGTTTGAATTTTTGTAGTAAAAGTTCTCTTACAATTAAAAATAATTATATCCATGGAATGACTTTTTTATAAGGTAGACATTTTCATTTGATACAATATTCAATTCTATAAATTTGGAAAGTAAAACTCAGAGAAATTAAGAAATTAGCCTAAGTAAGTAACATAGCTAGAACTCAGTGCCCAAGTTCTCTGTTGCCTAAGTCCCTTTTTCCTACACTAGCCTGCTTCTATGAAAGCAACAGTTTTCATAATGCTGATAGTTCTTAAGTGAGTGTTACCACCTTCACAGGGGAATTTGGAAGATGTTGATTGATGCTGTCTGGAATTCTGGCCTTTGTACTCAAGTTCGTGTTATGAGATAGTCTTATATAACAAAGAATTATTCCACCCAAATTGTCCTTATACCTTCTGTTAAAGAGCATCATGCTCTGCTACTGACCTTTTTGCTGTTTCCAGTGATCTAGTGATCATTAAGACACAGTCCTGTCTTTGAGGGCCATTCAAATGTACTAGTTTTATCCTTCACCAGCTGTAATCTCTTGTTCTTACACTAAACTGTGACAGCACTCTCTTCTTTCTACTTTGCAGAATTTCTGCTTCTAATCTGCTCAGGACTGAAACCAAATAATTAAACTAGTAATCATTTGTATGAGAAAGGCTCTCATTAGTCTGTGAATGCATGAGATCCTTTTCTGTGTAATAGAACTAGTGACCCATGTTTCAATTATTCAGATGTCTTATGTCTTCTAAGATTGATAGAGCCAAAGCTAGAGCTTATTCGGCCCTTATAAGATCTCATTTTAAAGAAGTAAAGAGAAATGTTTGCATTTCTATAATTTGCCAACTGAAGCAGTACTGTGGCTAACAGAAGTAATAACTTTTATACCTATAAAAGTGCTTTTGTATACAGGTTGAGTATCCCTAATCTGAAATGCTTGAAGCCAAAAGTATTTCAGGTTTCAGATTTGAGAATATTTATATATGTATAATGAGATCTTGGTGGATAGGACTCAAGTCCTAATAAAAATTCCCATATGAATTTGTTTCATATATATCTTGTATACATAACCTGAAGGTAATTTTATACAGTATTTTTTTTTTTTTTTTTTTTTTAGTGTGACTGAGTTTTGACTGCAACTGGTCACATGGGGAAGGACATGGAATTTTCCACTTGTGGTTTGATGTGACAGTGGTCCAAAATTGTGATTATTTCATAGGGTTACCCTTCTAGATAAGTTGCCCTGTAGTTTTCTATGTGCATAGTGAGCAGCTCTATTTTTTGTATTTTATTTCAGCTGAAATTAAAAAGAAGAAGAAGAAGAGTAAAAACAAGAATAGAAAGGTAAATGGTCTACCTCCTGAGATAGCTGCTGTTCCTGAGCTGGCAAAATACTGGGCCCAGAGATACAGGCTATTCTCCCGTTTTGATGATGGGATTAAGTTGGACAGAGGTAAAGTATATATGCATTTTTTGACTTTATTTAGAAACCACTTCAAATTTACAAAAAAGTTTCAAGAATAAACAGAATTTTCATGTCAGAATTTTGCCCAGTCATCCATTTTCAACATTTATTAAACATCTTTCTCTTTATATGTCTTTTTTATATTCAGTTGTACACATCATGCCCCACTACCCTTTACTTTGAACTTGTTTTTCCTAAGAATAGCAGTATTTAAAAATTTTTATAGTCTTTAGCCTCATTTCATTAATCATCCTATGCATTTTTATGGAATTTTTTCTTCTTCTAGAATAATTGCTTTTTTCTTCCTCCCCACCAGTGCTGGGGATCTAACCCAGGGCCTTGCAAATATTAGGCAAGTGCTATACACTAACCTACACTTTGGCCAACTTTGACATTTTTCAAAGGGGTTGGTGGCCAGTTATTTTATAAAATGTCCCTCAATTTGGGGATACACACAGAGACACTTCTAATTCAGGTTTATTTTGTATTTGTAACTTTCTTAGGATATGTGGCAAAAGTAACTGATAGTTTATTCAAAGAACATTTGATGAAAGCCGATGCACTGGTACATTCCTTTAATCCCAGAAGTTTGGTAAACTGAGGCAGAACAAGTTTAAGACCAGTTTCAGCAACTTAGACCCTCTCAAACTTAAAAGTAAAAAAGACTGGTGATATAGCTCAGTGGTAAAGCACCCTAGGTTCAATCCCCAGTTAACCCCTCCCCCCCCAAAAAAAAGAACATCTGATGAAGAAATAATTAATGCAGAAAGTTGTGATTTAATTAATTAATACTAAAAACTTCTTGAGCTTTCCATTTTAATCTTTAACATTTACCTAGATTTGGCAAACTGATGGGTTTCATATTGGGGTGTCCTACATATTGGTCTTTATTATTATTTTTTTTAAATATTTTTAGTTGTAGATGGACACAATGTCTTTATTTTTTTTTAATATGGTGCTAGGCAAGCACTGTACCCCTGAGCCACAACCCCAGCCCCCATATTGGTCTTTATTAACTCGGGGGTTCTTGATGTATGGTGGAATTTCAGGGGTTCTGTGAACTTCTAAAAATCACAAAATATTGTGTATTGAGAAAAGTATATAAGAGTTTGTTAGGAGAATTAAGACTGGGAAAAATCTTGAAATTCTATAAATGGATTATTCTTATTCTTCCAGTGATGAGGATCTACTTAAGATTTTGGTAAGGAAAGGGAACAAGAAGTTGACAGATCATTTTGTTCAGATAAATATGTTTCTGATAAATGCAAATTTTTTCTGCTGGGCGAAGAGAGCAATGTTATCTTTATTTCAGTGTGGGCACAGGACCTGATTTCTGAAATTGATGAGGGTTCTGTTATTCCTCTGTACTTCTGGCCAGCTCCTTGCTTTTTCTAACCCTTATAAACATGCAAATTTTCCAAAGTGTCCAGTACAAATCTGGGTCACTGCTTCTTCATTAGGAATAAAATAATTGGGAAATACAGTTGAATGTAGGGAGCTAGACAATTAGAACGCCTGACTTTGCATTTCCCATAGTTGATAAGTATTAATTAATGCCTCAAACATAAAATTGAAGTTTATACAGTTTTGGGAGAGATGGGGGTATATTACTGAAGAATCAGGTTAAAATTGGGGTGTTTGCATGTGTAGAAATTAGGACTGGAAATGGTATTGCTTCTTTTTTACAAGCTTTAGAGCTTTTCATTAAAAGTAGATAATTTATAATTTTTTGAAAAGGGAAACTAAGCTTTTTTAAAGTATATAATTTGTGTTTCTGGGTGCAGTGGCGCACGCCTATAATCCCAGCAGCTTGGGAGGCTGAGGCAGGAGGATCTCGAGTTTAAAGCCAGCCTCAGCAAAAGCAAGGCACTAAGCAACTCAGTGAGAACCTGTCTCTAAATAAAATACAAAATAGGACTGGGGATGTGGCTCTGGTCAAATGCCCCTGAGTTCAATACCTAGCACGCAAAAAAAAGTAAGCAATATTTGCTGTGTTTATGCTTGTCTTGGTTTCTTAAAAATTCAACATCTTAATAAAAATACTCTTCCTTTGCAGAGGGCTGGTTTTCAGTTACACCTGAGAAGATTGCTGAACATATTGCTGGCCACGTCAGTCAGTCCTTCACAAGTGACATTATAGTAGATGCATTCTGTGGAGTTGGAGGAAATACCATTCAGTTTGCCTTAACAGGAAAAAGAGGTAATTAGCTAAAATTAAGTATTTTATTTTCAGTTCATTCAGAAAATGTTCAATTTTGCTTCAGCCTATCTTTGAGATTTAATATATAATTGATAATTTAATACCAAATATTTTAAGTAATTAGCATGTATTAAATATTCATGTTGTATCACATTGGTATAGGTACTTAATATGTATTAATTTATTTAGTCAACAATCTTGTGGAGTATGTCTTTCATTATCTGCATTTTGTAGATAAACTTGAGACATACAGAGATGAAGTACATTGTATAAGATTATACAGACACAACTACTAATTGTTGGAGCCAAGATCATAACATTCTATAAAACCAAAAAAATACAGAATGGTTCTTTAGAAGAAAAGAACAGTAGACAGGTAATCCCAACTTTGCCACTCACTATCTTCATAACTATAATGGGCATCATTTCACCTTAAATTAAAAGAGATGTTGAATTGGGATGATCTTTCAGCTTTTACATCCTAAGACTTTAAAAATCCTTTAAATATTATGTCATTGTCACAGTTGCTTGACTTTGGAATCAAAAGGAAAATCTCCTTTACTATATATCTGCCAGTAACTATGGCAAGTAGAGAAAAGACTTTTAAGAAATGGTACAAATGGCTGATTAGCTCAATTTGTTAGGGCATGATGCTCATAACACCAATGTCATGGGTTCAATTCCTGTTGTGGCTAATAATGTATAGTTGAGCTTGGTAGCACAGGTTTATAATCCCAGCTACTCGAGGGGCTGAGGCAGGAGATTTGCAAGTTTCAGGCCAACCAGGGCAACTTAGTAAGACCCTATCTCAAAATAAAATGAAAAGGGCTGGGAATGTAGTTAAGTGACAGAGTGCTCACCTAGTATACATGAGGCCCCAGATTCAATCCTCAGTACAAGAAAAGAAATGGAATGTTCTGCCCAAACTTACATAGCTAAGTGGGGAAACAAAGGTTTTTATTTGTTTTGGGGGTTTTTTGACTCTGATGTCCCTTTTTTTCTGAATTCTTTTTTAAATGTTATATAATGTCGTATTTTAAAGACATTCATTGTCTGGTCATGCTCTGAAGATGCATATTTATTTTCCAGTATCTTCATATTACATATGTCATTGACAGTTTTCATTATAATATGATTCTGGAAATGTATATGAAAGTTAGAAAATGATGAAGTTAACCTTGCCATTGGGTTTAAGAACAGTGCTAGGGGCTGGGATTGTGGCTCTGCAATAGAGTGCTCGCCTAGCACGCGTGGGGCCCTGGGTTTGATCCTTAGCACCACATAAAAATAAATGAATGGAATAAAGGTATTGTGTCCAACTACAACTAAAAAAAATAAATATTTAAAAAAAAGAACAGAGCTAACAAACTGTCCTCTATTCAGTTACTCCTATGCTTCAGGCAAAACATTGGTTATTTTATATGGTCTAACTGCCTAAACAAAAGCTGTTTTCATATTTACCAGAATAGTGATTATTTTTCTTGTTTTTTACTGAATTCTTCTCAAACTTTGCCAAATAAGTCCTTCTTGTGAGCTCAAATCAATAAATAGTCAAAAGCTCTAAAATTTATCTTTGTTTTAGCATTATATCACAACATAATAATTATATTGTCTTTCCCCAATAAAGCAGCAAACAGATTTGAGATTTTCTTAAAATTTATGAATACACTGCATATAGTAGATTTGTGCTTCAGCAAGCAGAGATCTCTTGACAAGACTTTTTGTAGCTTAGGACACATTTGATAAAAGAAGATATCTAATGTGGGTCCCAAGCTAATGGGAGACTACTTCTTCCATGTTCTCACAGGCCAGCTCTTTTCCCAGCCCCTTGTTGTCATTTAATTGTTTACCTTAAAGATTGCCAGTCTCTGAGAACAAAAGGAGACAAACACTGGTCCTTCCCAGTGCTGTCACAACTTGACCTTTGCTATGGCAGCATGTGGGACTCAAAATTCAGGAATCCTCCAGCATGTCCTGTATGGTGGTACCTGATGACCTGTTCCCCAAACCAAAAGCAATTGCTCACAGATGCTCTGTGCTACTTAAGATATTCCCCCTAGGCTGAATGAACTCACTAAATTATAGCAGGAAATTCAGAACAGTTACACTGTAGTTGATGGTGTGTGTGTTTACATACATATGTACATGCAATAATCAATTACACTTGTTTTGATTTCTCTACCATAATATATGTATGTGTGTTTGTGTATACACACATATGACTTTTTGATACAAATGACATTATCACTTTGTACCAGATATATTTCTACTCAGATAATAGTTGGTTATACATATACCCAAAAAAATTATTTGAGAATACACAAAGCTTTGCATTTTTCTGTTATTAAAGGTATGTTTTCTTCTTCCTTTATATTGCAATAGTTTAGCATTAGTGCTACCCAGTAGAACTTTTTATATTGACATCATCCAATATGGCAGCCACTAGCCACACGTGATGATTGAACCGTTGAAATGTGACAGTGTGATAAGGATCTAAATTCTTAATATCATTTTATTTTGATCAGTTTTTAAAATGTGTGACATTATTGGAAAGCTCAATTCTATATTGTATCAGCAAATATTTGTCAGCATTTCATATATGTTATAAGGGTGCTTCCATTCTGTTAGGCTTAAAAACAAAGGTTGCCTCAAATAAATATAGATGAAAACAGTATGCTGAATAAATCTGACACTGAAAGTCATCTTTTTTTTTTATTTGAATTTTTAGTATTGTCATCATGTTTTTCCATCTGTCTCTCCACTATAAAAGTAGCAGATTGAATAACTGAAAAGCTTTTCTCATAAATGTGAATATTAGTTTATTTAGAATAGTAAAACAGCATTGTATACGCCAAGTTTTGCAACGTGTATTAGAATTGGTGCTTGTATTCGTTGTTCAAGTAATTTAATTATTTCTCAAAAGTGGTAACAAATTTTCTGGAAAACAACTACATTTCCCTGATAACCTTGCTTTAGATACCAGGGTTCCACTTAGCCCTTTCATGTGTAGAACACAGTGGTACACTTACAGGTACACTGGAATAATTCACTGGAAGACATGAGTGGGCTAAAATTAACTTATGTTTGCATTGCTGATTATGAAATTGCATATAAATTAAATGAAAGCCCATTCATTGGTGAAAACATAATATTGTTTGTTCCCTCTACCTAAAATGTGTTGGTGAAAACATCAACAGGTGTTTTTTATTTCTTATTCATAACTTGGCTCTATAGTTTGTAAAAATAGATCTTTTACTTTTCCGAGAAGTGATAAAATTTGTCTTTATTTGGGCATTGCTTCATTTTGAAGAAATTTGTCTTTTCTGAAATATAACTTAAGACTTCACTTGCAGGCAGTGAGCTTTGCAGGATTTTGCTACTAGCACAGCAAAGACTAGCCACATGTTTGGCATTCAGTAGATACTTTGAGGTAGTTATTGCCTCTTGGCTTAAGTGAAGCTGGCTGAGTGAGGTAGTTTTGAAACCTGGTCACATTTTTTTGGTATAACTGCAATTGAATCTTTCTAATTTGAATTACAAAATTTAACTGAAATCTGTATCTCTGGAAAAATCTCTATCTCTGGTATATATAGCCTCTTGTCTATTAGTCTTTAAGAATGGTTCTTATACGAAGCAAACTATTAGAAAAATGAACTCTCCCATATAATAAACAGTGTCAACTGACTCATTCTTTTCTTTTCTCATTTTTAGTGATTGCCATTGATATTGACCCAGTTAAGATTGATCTTGCTCGTAATAATGCAGAAGTTTATGGAATAGCAGATAAGATAGAGTTCATCTGTGGAGATTTCATGCTACTGGCTCCTTGTTTAAAGGCTGATGTTGTGTTCCTTAGCCCACCTTGGGGAGGCCCAGACTATGCCACTGCAGAGACCTTTGACATTAGGACAATGATGTCTCCCGATGGATATCCTTTGGAAGTTCTGAGAGCTTATTCAGACAGTACTTGGAGTGGATGAGGGGGTAGATAAGGGAGAGGGAAACTGGTAAAGAAAGATATTACCTAATAGCATTTAGTAGATTCCAGTTTGACACAAAAATATACATAAAAATTATGTATGTTTGTTGGACTCTAAATGTAATAGCAAATACCTTTTCTCTTGGTAACTATCCAATTTTATCAATTTTCAGTAAGAACTAGAATATTCTAATTTTTTGAGATTATCGTCTGGAAAGTCAGAATTTCCTCAAAACTTATTGCTTGAGTCCATGGGTGACTATCCAATAACTTTTCTTCATCTCCCTCTAAGTTGAGCTAATTTGCTATGTATCTTGACCTTTTTCTTTACTGGTGAGAGGTGGTATTGTGTTTTTCTATTTAGAATTCTTTTTTCTTATAAGTTTTACTTGTAATCTCTCTTATCAGGAACAGTATGCTGCTGAACTATAAGATCTTGTATTCTTTTAGATTCCATTAGAGGAAATTTAAACTTGTGCCATTTTGTCACATGCCAAAATACATTTGGCTTATAAGTAAAGACAATCTATTTCTGACCAAAAGTTAATTTTACTTTTTTTCCTTAACTGCTTTCCACCTTTGAAATTTTCAGACTTTCCCAGAAGATCACTAATAATATTGTTTATTTTCTTCCAAGAAATGCTGACATTGACCAGGTAAGCCATTACTAAAGAATTTCTGTGAGCCTCTTGTTGAATTTTTACAAAGAAGGGCAGAAAAAGATGTAGAATGTTTCCTTATCAGAGAACCCATTTATGAGAAATTCTTTGCTTGCTGACTGTTAGTAACAAATGGAAGTGTATAACCGTTGAGTCTATGTCCATTTGATCTTCATCTCTCTGACTTCTGATGTCAAACACAAATAAAGCACACCAGTCTTTTCATAAAGCTGTGTTGAAAGAAAGGTGGAATGTCTTGAGTTTCATATGCTGCTCGGCTAAAGTAGCCAAGGTCTACCTTTACTGAAACCTGCCTTGAAAATACAGGTTTTAAATATTTCTACAAATAATAACATAACCAAAGTTATAGATAGACAGAAACTTTAATTTGGTCAGGAGAAACTATTTCCATTATTTCTTCAATAGTGTTTCCACCACTCTTTCCTTTTTCTGGGCCATCCATTTTTCTTCTTTATATTTTTCTGGCATTTTGTTATATGTCCTGTTTATTTTATATGTATGTGTTATCTATGCTTTCAGTGTCATGTCTTAGAGTTTTATAGTTTCAGCTAAGTAGCTCTTCAAAGCCAATGATACTCTGATCCACTGGGAAAAATTCTTTTTTATTTATTTTCTAGGATGAAGACTAAGTATAAATCTTTTAAAGCCCCCCCCGCCCCCACCAAGTGATTATAATGCAATCAACAGTTTAGATTCTCTGGGTTAAAAGAAGAAAAAAATGAAATTAACAGTCTGAGCTCTTGCTCTGAGTTAGAAGGATGCAAAATTTGATCTTGCTCTCATTTATTTATGACACATTTTGCCTAAACATTAAGCCTTCCAAAATAGTATGTTATACCAATGATAAGAAAAAGACCGCACATCCCTTGGGATCATGAGATTTTTTTTAATATCACTTGATATTACATCTGTTATCTGCCACTCAGAAGGCTCGGCTGCTTCCTAGACTTCCAGATAAGGCTAAGCTTACTGATTCCAATTTATTTTTCTCACATGTAAGCATTATGTTTAATAACTGTCTCATAAAAGACCATATGGTCTTTGCTGGGCTTTACTGTGATTTTTATATTACATAAAAATAGGCTTATTTGAGTATGTGAATAAATACTAGTAAACTTACTGTTTAGCACAAAAGTCTCAGTGATTAAATTTTTTTCTAGTTGAATGAACATTTCCATAAAGTTAACTTTTTTCTTAATTCTGTTTTTGGCTTTCTTTGAAAACCTGCCAGAATTAGGGTTTGTGGCACATTCATGCTTTCTACCTCTAGAGGGAGTAATGACACCAGAAAATAATAAAAGAAACTGATTATGAGTACACTATTTTGTTTGGTATTGAATTTAGATCAAATTACAGTAGGAAATGAACTTTTTCTTAAAACAGAAAATTCACCACGTGAGACACTTTAAGTGAGAGAGAGAGCACTACAAGATCGAAAGAAATCAAAGTTACAAAGAAGTTAACGTTTTTGTTAGAGGGACATTTAAAACGTCAAAACAACGTGAATTTATAAATGAACTGTGTTCCCAAAGTTTATGAATCTGCAGCATTTTTCCCATAGAAATGTCTATAAAGAACAATTGGGAGATTATACTTTGCATACCATTATATTATCCTAAACTGGATACGAACTGAACTGAATATATTGCAGCTTGTCTTGAAACCTTTCCATGTAGATGATGGTGATTTTTCTCTGAATCCAGTGAAATATTTTTCTAGGTCCCCTATTACAGGTCACACAGCCCTTGTTAGCCAAACTCACACTATTAAACCTAAGACTGGATAATTTAGATAATATTTTTGTGAGAGGCACTTTGGATATAAGGTATATCTCACTCTCTGCAATTGCTGTTAAAACCTGGAAGCTCATCTTAGATTGCATTCAAGGAACTTATGTTTGTATCTTGTTTTGTTTTCTTTTATTTCATTCCTTTGACAGCTGTAGAATTCCAGCCATTTTCCAATTTTGGATCTACTATGCTTTGCAAATATGTAAAGATTCTTTTTTAAATAGTAAATCTATTCAGAGAAAGACCTTTGAGAGCAGACTAGATTGGTTATGCTTCAGTGGAAGCAAACACCACCTTCCTGTGAAATCCCTGTGGGTGGAATCTCTAACATAAATTATAGTCTTGTCTTTTAGCTAGGCATTGGGGTAATTAGAGGAGGGCCCCTGGTCCATTGGATGTGGTCGCTTCTTATCCTTTTTTGATTTTATAACAAAAATACATAAGTTTATAAAAGTGATGTCATCTGTACTTTTCAGTAGAAATTAAGTCACTTGGATTTTTCTGTTCATACCAATACAGAGAACAAGGTAACATTGAGCAGCATCCGTAAGAATTGTGTTAAAAAATAACTGAAGCCCCTCCATCAAATGATTCTTGTTCCTTATCTAACACACCCCACCTTCCTTGGCTTCTTTTTATTTATATACATATATATTTTTTTGTAGTTATAGGTAGACACAATATTTTATTTTTTATGTGGTGCTAAGGATCGAACCCAATGCTTCACGCATGCTAGGCGAGCGCTCTACCTCTGAGCCACAACTCTAGCCCCCTTTCTTGGCTTCTTTAAACATTCATTCTGTTAACACTTGAGCCAAGACCCCATTTATTTCATTTACTCATAAAGTGGGGAAACAATTGCAAATTAACATGTTTAGGTAGAACATTATACATTTGTTTGAGTTGTAGCTTTAAGTATAGAAATTGATGTTAGATTTAGTCAGGAAATCTATCTCATCTTTCTAGTTGGCAGAATTCACTAGACTTTTTTTTAGATTTTATTCCAGAGAGGGCTGACTGGTAGATCACATGCTTAGCATGTACAAGGCCCTGGGTTCAGTTGCCAACATCAGAAAAATTAAATAAATTTTAATTCATAATGTCTGCAAGAGGGAAAAATTCTTAATTGTAGCGTTGATCACACTTCTAGTTTGTTTGTTTTGAGGTGGTACATAGACCCAGGGACATTCTACTACTGAGCTAAAACTCTAGCCTCTATTCGTTTATTTTCAATCATTGGTTGGCTGATTTGTAGATAGATAGGTAGGTAGATAGATAGGAATGAGGTACTCATTTATGGGTAACATATCTAAAATATGGAAGAATAGAGTTGTATGCATTTGAATAACAAACTATTTATAAATAAGAGAATTTATTAGATAACATTGTTATTTAGGAAATATTTTAAATATAACTAAATTTAGCTCATTAGCATTTTCTAATAGTTTTGACTAAATATGGTAAATATTTACCACTGTTTTATTTACAAATATTATTTTAGTTTTAAGTTACTATAGTATCCGCTTATTTCATAAATGGAAAATTAAGGCCTTAATGGTATTTTATTTAGAGGTAGAATTAATAAAAAATTAATATCAAAATGTTCTGAATTAAATTAATACTGTGGAAATCTGATCTAATGGTAACATTCTTGTGTAGCTAAAGCTGTATCCATAAGGTAAGTACTATAAAGTCATTCCAACAGATGAAGGACCCTTAGTCCAGGTTTAGGAACCAGAAGCATGACAGAATAGGAAGAGGCCTAAAGACTGGATTGAGTTTGTACTTATAGGAATTGTAGTCTCTAAAACAGGTGAACCTCAAAATAGCTTGCTTTTACAACTCAAGAGCACACAGAGATGTGTTCATGCTACTAAACTAACAATACACTGCATTGTATACATATTGTGTTAGTCAGCTTTGTGTTGCTGTGACCAAAATACCTGATGATAACAACTTAGAGGAGGGGAAAGTTATTTTGCTCATGGATGCAGAGAATCAGTCCATGGCCAGCCCCGCTATAGTCAATTGCTCTGGGCTCTAGGTAAGGCAGAACCTCATGGCATAGAGTAGCTGCTCCGTTCATGGCAGCCAGAAAGCAGAGAGATGGGAGAAGGAACAAGGACTCTGAACCATTTCAGAGCACTCCCCCAGTGCACCTCCTCCAGCCATGCCCCCACCTGCTTACAGTTACCACTCAGTCCATTCAGACTAGGATGGACTGGTTAGGTTACAGCTCTCCAGTTTCATAGTGTGGCCTCTGAATGTTCCTGTATTAATACAGAAGCTTTGCAGGAACTCCTCATATTCGAACCATGATACATTTACAGCATGGAAGTTTAATGAATGCTTCTTGGGTAAGTGGATACTTAAGATCCATAGAGTTCTCCTGAACATGTCATTGACTTATTATAACACTTTGGAGTATTTATGTCAAGTTATCAACCTGATTTTATTGGTGAGTAAACTAGGAAAGTTTGCCTAGCTATCCTGCCACATAATGGCATAGTCAGCACCTTAATACCTTGCTGTCTCCCACAGACACAGTATTCATTGCTAAAAAGAAACAGGTTCATCTCTTGTCACAAGAGTAGCTCACCAAGAGATTGGGACAGTCATTAGAATTTGAGGTGACAAGAGAAGCAAGGGGAATTATAAAAGAATTTCTGCAGAATCAGCTCTGGTCCATTCCTTCTTAAAGGTGAGAAAGACAACAGAGAATTAAAAATTTATGACAAAGGGAAATGCCATGACCTGCACCAGCTGTTAATTCAGAAACCAGCAAGGGGCAATGGGGGAATAGAGAAAAGACAGACACACAAAGAAAGAAAAAGCTGGGGACTGGTGGCTCTTCATCCCCTGATGAGGGATGAAGAACTACCCAGAACCAACTCAGCACATTTATTATCAAGATTTTAACATCAAAAGGGTTTTTTTTTGGGGGGGGGGGGGCATGTAGCAGGGATTTAACTCAGGGGCACTCAATCACTGAGCTACATCTACAACCCTGTTTTGTATTTTATTTAGAGTTAGGGTCTCACTGAGTTGCTTAGTACCTCACTTTTGCTGAGGCTGGCTATGAACTCAGGATCCTTCCTCATCTTCCTGAGCTGCTGGTGCACCACTGCCCCCAAATCAAAAGGGTTTTCTATGAGAAAGTTTCTTCAAAGTAGGGCTGGGGATGTG